TACTTAAAAAAATTCGTAAGATATTCCATTTTTGAATTTATAAATGCGAGGCGCGAGTGCAACGCGCCGCTGCGGCATAGGTCAGGCGCTTGCGCCCAGCGAAAACATCGATTTAACGGTCGAAAATTCGACCCTTAGCAATAAAAAAATGACTGATTGCTATACAGGATATTGTAGAGCACGTTTTTAACTATAAGTTGACGTGGTAGGAATTTAAAAATATTGCTTTTTCATAGAGTTATAAGCGATCGAAAATGGCAAAATGAGCGTTTTTTTCATTTTGAAGCACCTATAACTCGGAAAATAAGCCTTTTAGAGAAAATTAACAAGAGACATCTTCTCTTCAAAATATCCCAAATTACCTAGATAACAATGTTATTTGTGTAAATAAATCGATTTAAACAATAACTGACAACTTTTCAGTCGGGCAAGATTCATTTCCACAATCAGTGATACTAGATAAAGAGTATCCTGCATGAAAATTCCGGCCCATAATTTCCGCAGCGAATGCGACGAATTCGCCTCGACTATAACTCTTGAGCGATCGCGCAAAAGTAGTACTAAAATGTTTGTTACAACATTCTACACAAGATATAGTAAATATTTTTTGGATTCGAGTGGGGGAACATATAAATAAACGATAAAAACGACGAAATTTTGAGTTTTTAAATTTAATAAACTTTTGACTTCAACTCGCAATATCTCAGCTCGGTTTTAATGTTTTGACCTGAAATTTTCACACAATGATCTACAAGTTATCTAGCAAAAAATGACGCCACACCGGTTTCTTGATATTAATAACGAACAAAATGACGAATTCTTGAAAAAAAAACAAGCAGGTACCGAATTTTTTTTTTCGGATTAAAAAGTTGTTTTATAAATTTTTGAATTTCATATTTTAACCTGTACGATGTTAAAGATCAATATCCAAAGAAGTTTTGTGAATTTTTTCAGATTTTTCAGAATATCCAGTAAAAAGTTACAACAACATTTATGCGACTTTTGGTGGGACTAGTACGAGCCTGCGTCTGTATCTACTGTAGCTCCCCACACGGACTATTTCGAATGTCTTACTCTTCTTCGCCAATGACAAAAAAACATTAAGAATTATAACCCCACCGCGGGGGCTTTCCATACCGGGCCGTGGCCCACGCGCTACACGCAGCACCTGTTCGCGCACCTCTTGGCTGATGCTGCGCAGATTTTCGTGGAGCTGATTGGTTGAAGTGACTCAGGTCGTTGCATCTCAACGACCAATACTTCTCCTGCTCGCTCGTGGCGCTCCTCCTCCAGGCGTTCGCGCTTTAGTCAGTGCTTTCTTTGTGTGCGTTTACATTTTCCCTCTCTAGACTCCAATGCACTTGTGGAGTGGTCTTTCAGGGGAAGCGTGAAATCGCACCCTTGACTTCAGCGCTCACATGCAAAGACCGTTCCCATGTTTCCCTCCTCCGTTAAGAGACGCGTATACGCTCAAGCTTTCGCATCGTTCCCTTGCGCAAGAAGTATTAAAGAAATTGCCAAAAAGAGCTCGAGGCGCGCTCCTCAATATCGAGGGGAGCGCGGGTCAGCGTGCGCGGACCTGTCTTCTGAGCGCAAGCGGTGGCACACACGCCTCGCCAAATAATGTTAATATGTAAATCGATAGATTTTTTCCTCGTCTTTCAATTGGTCATGTTAATTTGAAGGTTAAAATTGAAATATTTGAAGAAATAATGACTTCGACATTGAAGTCAAGTTTCGTCGATGCAAAAGATTTTTGAAAAAGTTTTTGTTTTTCCGGGAATCGAGACTAAAGATTCGTAATATATTATGGCCTATAGGCAAGTCCGTCCAAAAATCTAGTACTTTAGTGTATATTTACGGGGCAAACGGTAAGCTCGAGGCACTTTTAATCTTACTTTTGAACAGGGCGAAGCTTTATAGGTAGTTAATCAATATCGGACTTTGTCGTTTAGCAATACAATCATCAAGTTGGACAGTTGCGCTTACGAGAGATCATACATTCAATATAACTCGAAGCAGAGTGTGCCGTGCAAGGCGAATCGGGCGAATCACTTTCCGCCTGCTAACCAACACTCCCGAACCCTCAGTCAAATCCATCTTCAAGAAAATGAAACATATTAAAATATATTTAAAATCCATACTAATATATCTATTATAAATCCTACTAAATCAGAAGCTGAATTTTCTTCTACACTCGTCTTTGATAGAGCGATAGCCATGAACCTCTTCGCGATATATTTTTGCGTTGCAATAAAAATAGTATATTTTGCACCCATGGAGTGAAAAACTGAATTTATCAGCGTTCATCAAGGGTAAACAAATGCAATCGCCTTTATTTATTTCTTACTGATTTTTTTCTGATTTTTCTAAATCCTTATTTTTACAACCAGAAGGCACAGCTTAAGAGATGGGGGAGTATTTTTAATAAACAAATGGAATAACTCGATCAATAATGCACTTAACGCAAAAATAAAAAAATGCGTTGTATTTTTCATGACAAGAGCTTCATATTCCTAAAGTTTCGTTATCCTAGGTTTATTTATGACAAACTTATAAACAATTCAAGAAACTGTCATACTTGAAGGTTTTTTTGATCTAGCGGATAAACAAATGGCCCGATTTCAACTTTGAATACACTAAATTGTAGGTCTTAAAAAAATCTACATTCTTTATTTGAAGCTTTTTTTCGTAAAGTTTGTGGCTAAAAAATTACAGCCGATAAACGAATTTTGGACAATTTCAAACGGCCCAATTGTTTAAATTTCCATCAGTTGCATAGTTGCATTTTGCACTACTTCATTTCCAACATCTAACACTCACTTTTTCCGGTGTCAAACTGCGGTTGCGAATTTTTTCGCTTTCAAAACTAATTTGACTAGACTAGAGGTTTATATTGAGTATATAAAATTAAAGAAAACTTTTTTACTTGTGTACGCCAAACAGGGAGCTTTCAACTGAGCTTGAACAGGACGCTTATGTGTTTTTTTTTCATCAATGAGAAGTTAGTCGTGTTATTCACTAACTAACCTGATTTTCATTATGAAACGCACTTTAAGAAGTTCCAATTCAAAAAATTAAAAAATTTTCTCAATTCCATAATAACATGAGTTATCATACAAAAGATATTGAAGATTATTCACAGTCTCACGGGTATACCTGTATGTACCCCATATATGAGTAGTATGTAACGTACATTTTGAGTACAGCCAAAACTAAATAATAGGTATGAAAAAAAACTAATGTCTAGGGAATACTTCTCAGTACAAAAATCCCTATATCGAAGTTCCTCGCGAGGAAAATAATGTACATGTGTTAATTTAAATAAAAACATGCTTCTCTTTATATTGAACGTCCATATACTTTTTTTAAAACTCATTATATGGAAAAGTAAAATTTACTCTATCATAAAATCTACAAGTTTCAGCACTAATTATTACAATAGGGTATTACTGCTCAGCACCCATTACTACGCATTGCAGAAATCATTTGTTTATGTTGATCTATTGCAAATTAATGAGTGATAATGATTTTAAATAATACATTTTGTTATGTACTCTAAATATTATGTTATTTTAATCTTCACATCCACAAAAATTCATCTACTCTTTATAAAAAATTCACGAATTAGTTATTTCTTAAGAACATAATAATAATTTTCGGATATTAAAAGAAAAGCTGTTAAAAACTTAAATAAGCTGAAAGTATAATAAACTAATGAAATATAAAATTAGAGTGGAAATATTCAGTTCGCAGTAATTTCTACACCCTCCCAGTAATTGTTGTACCAACTTATTTACAATTTATTATTTGTAAGAGGCATTTTCGTTATACTAAGGCATATTATAATTTTGTATGCAACAAGTGTCCAGCTTTTCGTGCCAACATAGGCGGCACTGGAGCGCGCCAATTCGCTCCCGTTTCAAGTGGACCTTTGATCGCTCGGCGCGATGCTCGACCTTGACAGCTCGACCCGGTGACATATATATTGCTTGTGTATCGACTTTCTCCGAGTAAGTCGAACTGTTATCGCTACTTTTTCCACCCGGGTTGGCTAATCGGTATGAAAACAAACCCAGCGACGACTTTCTCCATGGAAGTTAAGATTTTATGACTACATTATCCCGCGGGCGACTTGCCCTATGCCCCAGGTGTGAATACCAACCGGCGACGACTTACTCCGAGGAAGTCAAAGTTTTTAATATATATTCAAAATTTACAAAGATTATACTTACATTTTGAAACAATAGAATCTAATTTTTTTACCTTGACGTCAAGAAATTATACTTTTTGATGCAAAATGAGAACTGTTCATCGTATGGATATAAAAACTTACTAGCTTGTGTAAAGTAATTAGTTGAAATACATACTCAAATTTTCATCATGCTAGCTTCCAAATTTTGGTTTTAAACTTTGAAAGAATAAAATTTCATTTTATACCTTTTCTTGAGAAATTGTATTTTTTGTTGAAAAATGAAAACTGTTCATCGCATGGATCTAAGTCCAATAAGATACTTTTTATTTTAACATAATCCTTATCATTAAATCTTAATCCACCATTGTTTAATTGCATAGTTATTATAAGAGTGAAATCAAATATATTCTGACAATTATTCAGCATAACTTGAATATTTATTTTTCAAACTCTATATCAAATTGAAAAGTTTATCATACAGTAATTCAGAATTTTGCTAATACTTTTTTCAAAAGATTATATGTCGCAGAAGAAAAACAAATTATATTACTAATCGCTTAATTTTTCTCATTTCATTATAAGAATCAATGTACATGAGTTCATCACGTTGAAATGTCATATTATACTTGTACATCTGAATAATGATGAATAGGTACAGTAAATTTTGAATTAAAATTTTTTTTTCTATTTTAAACTTTTATTCTAATCAAAATTACTACAGTCGTTTTTACATATTTTAAGTTATGAACGACAAAATATGAGTAAAACTAAAACACGAAAAAGATTATGTCTACTATTTTTAACATTATTCTTCAACTAATCGCGCTTTACCAAGAATCAAATTGCTTATTTCATGAAAGTCTGTTAGTCCGCTTATATGAACTTTGATAAAATCAACTGTTTCTTTTTTTAGATAGTCCGCACTATAAGTATCAGAAATTTCAAGCATTTTTAGAGCATTTTCAGTAGATAAATTAGAACTCAATATTTGTCCACACTTTTTTTTCAACTCTTCAAGTTCATACTTGTCTGAAACCTTCAGCAGCTCAATTGTCAAAGAAATTTCGTTGTTTTTAACGCCACCAGTGTAGATGTATCGTAGCATCTCAATTGCAGCTTCAAGGCTAACGTCCTTCATTTCAACTAATTTGCTTTGGTTTTCTATCATATCATAAGTAAACATGGCTTTGAATACTGGGCTGGCAGTTGCGAGCATGAGTCTATGTGCTGGAATTTCCTTTCCACTTGCAGTCCGTAGCGCAACATCGCTGAAATCATTCTTAAGTAACATCCAGTCGAAATTTAGTTTCGGTACCTCATTCGTTTTGGCTGATTCGTAGGTTCGTAAATTCTTTTGCCCTTTTATAAAAACTGATAATTCGCAGAGAACATGTATATCATCCTTGGATTCAATCAGTCTCTCAATTTCCGTTTCGGTCTTGCGAAGAATCAGCGTTTCCCTTTGATTCGTAGAAAATGTACAACAGTCTGTCCGGGTATCAATAATTTCGTCATGCTTGATTATTGATATTTTATACTTGCATATTAGTGGTGAGGATTGATCTGAACAGCGAAGAATTAAACGCCAAACACTTAGGTAAGACATATGGCTCGAATGAGTCCAAATTAGGCCTCTGTGGAATTCTAAAACGAATTTCTGTCCCACATAGGAAAACTCCGTTGATCGTACTAAACTATTATACAACAACGATGGTAAATCCCTCGACAATACCCATGTAAAACTATTGTCCTTTTCACTTGTTTTTAAGGAGCCAATAACTGCCATGTTGCACTTTAAGAAATATCTTATTGGAAATATATAATTATTACTCAAATATTTTGGGACTTTAATTACACTTGCACAAAAACTTAACCCGTTTCGGGCCAAACGGATGAAATTTCCCACATTTTTTCTGGTGCCATAAACTTTGAGAACAAAATATCTGATAAATGTTTAAATAGTTATTTCTGGCTTGAAATGTTATGAAATTTTCGAACCAGGTGACTGATTTTCAGTATTACATCGACTCGCAACATGCCTGAAAAGATATAGAAACATGCTAGACGAAACGTTGCAAAAATAAAATTTGACGATCGACAAATTTCTTGTCGAATGACACACAAAAAGTGCTGTCCTTATTGCCTAAACTGATTGACTAGCGAATACTAGAGCATTATCTTTGTATATTTAAAATACGGCGAATTGTGAACACGATGAAACAACGTAATAGTTACCTCAGCTTTCCGATCGTGAGGTCAGATTTCCAAAAATTTTCCATTTTCCTCGAGAAAATTGTCGGAAAATCTTCAAAGTCGAATATCTCAAAAAGGGCATTTTTAAGATTTTTCTAACTAGTCGTAATTGAAAGCTGAGAAAATTTCCTATCGATATGCAAGTTTACAAAGAGTGGTATTGATTATTACTTAGTGAAATACAGCGACGAACGTATAAAAACGCGACTTTTCGGCCCGCGCGGCGCCGAATTTCAAAAAGCTGAGGTAATTTACAATCGAAATCATGTGGCTCATATTTTTTCTAGGTGCATTTAGATGCTTTTCTGACAAGTTACAGAGTGAGCAGTTTGGCTTAATAAGGCCGCTCGCGCGCACCACTGGAGATTGACGTGAAATGACTCATATTAAAAATCTGATACCAGATTCGAAGATTTCTTAACATTTCACGCCAAAAATAACTATTTAAACATTTATCATATATTTTTTTTTTCAAAGCTTATAGCGCCAGAAAAGAAGTGGGAAATTTCATTCGTTTGGCCTAAAATTGGTTAAACAGTATAGGAATAATAGCTGTGGCAGCGACAATCCGCTCACGGATATCGACTGTTCGTCGTAACACTACTGCACAAATCACAACTCGATTATCACTATCACAAATTGAAACGCTTGAAAACTGATCGGAAGACTTGTTCACTTCGTTCTGAACAACTGACTGCATGTAGTGCTCACTGCGCTGCGACAGTCAGCGTCTCCTCTCATCTTGCGATTTGCTCTCATCGGGCGCGAACCTCAAATAGCGTCGACAGCGTCGCTTAGTGGATAACTCGAGAATTACTTTGACGATTCAATGAAATCATTTATTTCGCGGGCCTTATTTTGAAAAACAAAGTATGACCAGACTCTATCAGCATTTTAAGAAGCACTAAAAATGGAGCGGCGCTTGCTATGCACACGCGTTTGAATTAAACTAGAAATCTATGTGCGCGCTACGCGCGCATGGAACTCTTATGCGTATGTAATTTAATATATGGAAATATTTTGAAAATAATAATCAAGATATTATTAACTATAGAGGGGCGTATATAGATGACACTAAAATATTTCTTGTACTTACATGAAGTTGGCTTTAAGAGGGTTCAATTCGATCTATAATCGCAATGGCTCTTATATTAATTAGATTAGATTAGATTAGATGGTGTTGAACTTTCATATTTTTTGTTGACAGCGCAGACAAATTTTATGATTTAATTAAATGTATGGTGAATCTCTTTATAAATAAAAGAAATATTTGTACCATTTTCTAACTTAACCCTATATTTCAATTCTATACAATATTACTTTATGAGCATATATCTTTATTAATAACACAATAATAATAACATGAATTGTATGTGATGCATTACCACCGATTTTCTTTATTCGAAGTAATGTGTAATTGAATTTTGAATTTCTCTATATTTCATGTACTTTATAACATTGAACTGATGAATAAATTTTTTAAAATAATTTCAATTGATTTTCATATTACATTATAATTATTCAATTATATAAACATTTCATTATACACAATATTTTTCACTTTGTATGTGTCATTTTCAATTTTTTCATCATCATTCATTCGCAGATAATGCTACATATAATTGGTCATACCTAAATACACTATTTCGTAGATCAATACCAATTCTGTAAAGGTGGCTAGTCAGTAAAATGAGTCGACAACAGATGTTTATGAAACTTTGCAGAAATGTTATTTAAAGTGCCCTTGATATGCTGTAGAAATTTCAGCATGGATTATCGAACTAATTTTAGGAACGAAGCTATTGAAAATAACAAATTTAACATGGGCTCTTATGGGAGGCCACCATAATTTCATACATTTTACGCCATAACATGTTTATTGAACAACAGATCTTAACCAAAAACGAGTATGTTATAAGTCACTACCTATCGATTGGTATGTTGAAAATTACCACTTATCGAACTAACTAATGAGTAATTAAACGAAATGTGCGTAAAATCATTGATTTCGATTAGTGTGAGCGGTTGCCTGCCTAATGCAAAAAAGAGACAGACGCCTCACTGTACTTTTGTTATGATTACTGACTAGCCACCTTATGCTTGCCCTTGTGATTTTTAAATTATCATTGCAAATGCTAGTTTTATCGGAAATTGTCTTGGTTTAAATGTAAATGGATAATCAGTTTCACTGTATAATGTTATTCTACTGAGAAATCCTATGTCACCAGCACTATCACAATTGAGTATTTGACATTTTAAAAGATGAGGTTTCATTTCTAATATTATGAGCCTTGTACCATTACATAGACCTTCATTAATGTTTGAATTTCTTATTAAAAGAATGATTAAATATTTTCTTATTTTTAATACATAATGTGGAGGCGAAGGTGGTGCTAATGTATGTAAGTATTCAGGTAATAATGCTTCATTCGTACAGTCCCCATTATCACGATTATTTGCACTATCAATGCTTGTGTAAATTATTTCTGTCTCTTCATCTAACATATGCAATACATGAGTATTTATGTCATTTACATCTTTGTTTCTAGCTGCAAGTATGGCACACTTAACATCTATTTTATACTTTTTTTGCAATCAATCTCCATACATAATTGTTGGTAAATTTATACCTGTTTTTATTACACAGATACTGGGGATGTTTATTTCATTATTTTTATCATTCAATATGCCACATCCTACTTCAATTAGGAATTTTGAAAATCATGGTCATTATTTCCCGTTCTTATGTTTGTTTGTGATGTTTTGAGGTAAAAACTCGACTTGAATGTTTAAGTCCATTTATTTCAAATATATGTTCTCCAATTTTAAAATAAACTGCACCAATCAAAAGAGGAGGCACAAATCTTTCGAAAACAATATCTTCTAGAATGTAGAAATAATAAGAAGTATTAGAGATATCGAGATGCTCGAAAGAGAGATTATATGAGTGCTAGTATGACAGTCTTATCCTTATTAATCAAATCTAACTCGCAAACTCTTTATTTTTCTAATTATGGAAATGTCTAATATCAATCCACTATTGAATAATTACTTAATGAGCAACGATTGGAATGAAATCAAACATATTCTGACAACTATTCATAGACAAACTGAAATTTTTTATTTTCAAACTTTTATGGGAACATTTATGGGAACTACTACTTTAATACATATCACGAAAAGGGAAATGATAATCTTGTTTGATCATGTAAAGTTATCATTCATGAAGATCGTCCAAGATGACAAGTTTTTATCTCTGTCTCTCTGTTGCAGAGTAACTTTACNTTTGTGGAATTTTGATTCAAGTTATAAAAAAGTTTTTACAACAATAGATGTGAAAAAAAGCAAAATTCATGAAAATTTATTGTTGTTTTTGAGCACATATTGAATAACAGAACTGATGTAAAGGCCTAAATCAAAATTCTAGAAAACTCAGCCCATAAAGAGTAATTTTATGAAGATTTTGAGACGTACTAGAGGTCTGTACTTCAAAAACTCTGGTCTGAACCTTGCGCACAGTGCCAAAATCCTAAAATAGCAAAAATAAGCTATTTTTAGACGCAGAGGTCTATTCTGACACTTTTTTCCACATTTTGTAGGGTCCAAAGATGCCAAATTGATGTTGAAAACATAGGTTGACATCAAACTGTGATGTATATCACAAAAATGCCCAATAAGAACCAATTGGTGTATGACTCCCCTTAAAGAACTCACTGCTACTTTGTTGAAATATCGCCTCTATGGTAATGTCAATCACTTCTTGTTGAGATATTTGATTCGGTAGAATGGGGAATAAATAGTATATGTGGAAATCCGAGAAACTTTTAACTTGGCGATGAAAAGAAAACATTTTTTTTGGAGTACGCATGCGTAATATGCTTTTCTGTAAACTTTTGGACTTGAAAAGTGATAAAAAAGCAAGGCTTATGGTTTTAAACAATCGATCAATTTTTTAAGCAAATGGTATGATAATTGTTAATTTTTTCCGTTTTTTCAGTCCCACTGAATGTAATAAAAATTGAAAAGGACTGTGATTTTTTTAAATAAACCGTTTATTACAAACTGTTTTAACATTTTTAAACAATAACTTGCGTCATATAAACAATAAATGCGTAAATAATTTCTTAAATTTTTAAAATTTGACAGATCTTTTTTCTACTTTCAAAAAGTTTTCACATACATCTTTTTTTTGTAATTAGAAACAAAGTATAATTTTTTGAAAAAATTATTTAAATAATCAAGTAAGTAATAAAAATCATCAATTTATATGTAATACATGCGTAAATCATTTTTTACATCTTGTAATTCTGTAAGAAATTTGATCTAAATTCCAAATTTCTGGTTTTACGCATAATGCTCACAATTATTTTTTTTCAAAGCATAAGTTACACGACAGATAATTAAGTCTGAACGAATGTGATTTCGCATTATTCCAATTAATTGAAAAAATTTTCGATGAATTAGGTGCTGGTTTCAAATAAGAAGGTACGAGTTTTTTAACATCTTCGATATCTTCCGTTTGAATGGGAAATA